TTACAAATAATCCAACTAATGCTGCAAGCACTATTTTGACCACACCGGGCCGCAGGCAATCGCATTGTGGCCCCCTCCTGCCCAGCAAAAAAGGGAGCCGGCCGCAATGTGATGCAGTGCATTTCGTCCGTAATCGGGCCAGACCGCACTGCAAGTGGTGTGAACGACCCCTTGGAGCCAGAAGAAGAAGCTGGTGAAGCAGACCTTTGCTTCATCAGCTTCTTTGGGGTCCCTAGGTGACATTTGGGGTATGAAAAACCCCTGATGTCTCCATGAAGAGGACCTGTCATAAGGGGCTTTTTAGCCCGCTATGTGATGGCAATAAAGCTGAGTTTTAAAAAAATGGTAAAAATTAAAGTAACATTAAAAAAAATTAAAAATGCAAAAAAATATTTTTTTAAGGTTCCCCGCTCCCCACGTGCATGCACATACAGCGCAAACACGCATCGGATGCACCTACTTGCAAAAACAAACATTGCGCCACACATATGTATCGTCGCGAGTGTTGGAGTGAGAGCAATAATTCTAGGCCCATCAATCACTGATGGCACTAAACTGATGAGCCATAAAAGCATTTAAAGCGTCGTTTATGGAAAATGTTGGTTATTGTAGTTTTTAGTTAAAATTTCATTTTAGTGTCCTTTATCCTAAAAATACTGGTTTGATAAAAATTTGCGCAAATACCGTGCAACATAAAAAACTGCAACTAGTATCTTTTTATTCTACAGGGCTTTATTCTGATTTCAGAAAATATATAATTGTTTGGGGGTCTGAAGCTGTTTTCTAGCCAAAAATGCAGATTCTATCATGTGTGTGCAAATGTAAGAAATTGCTACGGAAAGCAAGTGGTTAATGAGTGTGTGATTTGTGTGTTATGAGTGTATAAATGTTTGAATATGTGTGCTTCCTTATTTTGCCGAAGGCAGTGATGATGCTGAAATTTTTTTAAACCTGAGCGCTCGAACTGCAACGCTGTACTAACGTTATTTTCAGTGTTGGCACTTTGAGATAAATACATTTATTTTACATCGCAGTTTGGGCACTCGGGTTCAAAAAGATTTGCCATCACTATCCTTGTCTGACAGTGGCGCAGACAAGAGCCCAGAGGTAGCGGGGCATCACGTCACTTCTGGCCAGTCCGGCGGGAGGGAGATGCAGCCCCAACCAGTCCACCTGAGACCCCTGCAGAGCCCACCATAGAGAGTCTCAGATGGGCTGTGCAGCATGTATGGTGTGCTCTGCAGGGTCACTTTCAAGTGGGCTGTGTGGGGTCTCAGCTGGGTCCTGTGTCCAGCGTGTTACTACGCCCTGCGTCCAGCGCATTACGAAGCCCTGAGTCTGGCGCATTACGACGCCCTGAGCCCGGTGCGTAACTAAGCCCAGACTTCGTTGCTGTTTACTATGCTGCACGTCAATAAATAGACGTTTGCTCATGAATTTGGAGTGCCGGTGTCTTTATCTTTACTTGTGATTATAACAGATGTCACCCGTTGACTACCGCAGCACCTGCTTTTCAAAGGGATTTGGCGGTCAGGAGTGCAATGGGACCATGGACTTTCCATTGTATGCTTTTGCCTGAGGAAGGGACCCCGAAACGTTTGTTGCTGTTTACTATGCTGCACGTAAATAAATAGATGTTTGCTCATGAATTTGGAGTGCCAGTGTCAATATCTTTACTTAAGTCCAGAGTCCGGCGCGTAACTAAGCCCAGAGTCCGGCACGTAACTAAGCCCAGAGTCCGGCGCGTAACTAAGCCCAGAGTCCGGCGCGTAACTAAGCCCAGAGTCCGGCGCGTAACTAAGCCCAGAGTCCGGCGCGCTACTAAGCC